ATAATCATATGAGCCAAACCCCTTTATGTGGTCCTGCAGTAATCTCATTAGTAATGCTGTTACATAACGTCTGATCCTACGCTGTACAGGCAGAGATCAGCCTCATTAAGGTCACTGACAATCACGTCTCTAAAGTCTTCTGACCTCCTGTATGATTGTATGTATCCCACCAGATTAAACATGACATATCTCCCACGAGTGCTTTAAAAGAATCAGTGGTGCACATGTTTGCTGGTTTTTCACCCTCCTTTGGCTGTGGTTCTTGGCTTTTGTTCATCACAGGCATCATAGGACAGCAGGGAGGATTAAGGTAACTCTAAATAAAGCTGGCAGATTAGGAAACATGATACCAGCAGCATGTTCTCTCTCACTCTGACAGAGTCATGGATGAAGAGAGCTGAAGACTTCCTTGGAGACAGGAAAACTATCCAGGAGAAACCACATCAATGATTTTTATTCATGCAGTTACAGAAGAGGACAGTTAAAATGAATGCCTGCATGATGGTCATACATTACCTTAACAAAAACCTAATGTAACTGTTTGTTTTTAATCTGTAAAAGAAGCTAAATATTATCATTTGACTTTAGAAACTGAATATGAACATGCGGACATATTCTTTGACTTCAAATCCTATAAAAAAGAAAAGCAGCCATGCACTGGTCTTCTACAAGAGCACAGCGGTAAGGTCATTTATTTTACATGCTAATGTTATTTATACATTTAGAGTCAACAAAGTGCAATTTACATGCTTGTTAACTTCTACAATAAACAATATAAATAATTAATAATCTTACGTAAAACTTTTTATTTATATGATTAGTGTTAGTATGGGCCGTAATTAAATGTTCATGCCAGCTAAAAATGTTCATTCTGATTGTTAAAGAACTATGGTTTTAATGGGATAGTTCACCCAAAAATGAAAATTCTGTCATCATTTACTCTCTGCCAGGTTGTATGAGTTTCTTTCTTCTGCTGGTAACTATTGACTTCCACAGTATGGAAAAAAATTTATGACAGAATTTTCATTTTTGGTTGAACTATCCCTTTAAGATAGCATATTATGGAGTTATTCCTCAATCAGGAACAAGAATATATTAAAAATGTATTTAGGATATTTTAATATATTCAAATATTTTCACAGTTATCGACATGCAACGCATATACTGTTTTCTCATATCTATGCATAAAACTATAGTGAACTGTAACTAATTTTCCTCTTGGTTACTGTTGGTTCCTATTTTTCAGCCTTAAGCAGCTGCAAAATGCCTGCAAGGTCAAGTCAGGTGTCGCCGCAGGTGCATCGGCACAACATTTACACTCTGACGGACAGCTCAGAATGTGGGTCAGAGCCGGAAGAGGATGCAGACCCTTCTAAGCATCTAACACCCCTGGAAAAGTTAAAACTGGAAATGTGTAATGATGAAGATATCATAAAGGAACTGACGGTGGGCAGAAGGGTGGGCTTCTACAAAGTCCGCGGTCAGATCGGCTGTGGAAACTTTTCGAAGGTCAAACTGGCCATCCACGCCCTCACCAAAGGTAGAAGAGATTTAGCGTAATCTAACTGGTTTTGATTAAACACTTGACTTTTTGAATCTAGGTTAGGAAATGGTAAACGTAGGTTAGAATTAAGATTAATGCGTAACGACCTCATCCTGATTTTATTCCACATGCATCTCCTGTAGACAAAGTTGCCATTAAGATCATGGATAAGATGAGGCTCGATCTGCAGACCCAGAGGATGCTGTCTAAAGAAATCTCCAACATGGAGAGATTGTATCACCCAAATTTATTGCAACTCTATGAAGTACTGGAGACGCCAAGTCGGTTGTACCTGGTTTTGGAGTTCGCCGGAGGAGGAGATGTCCACACCAGAATCAGCTCCGGAGGAAAACTCTCTGACCAAGACAGCAAGATTGCATTCGCCCAAATCCTGTCAGCAGTTAAATACATGGTTAGACCTTCTATATCAATAATATATCACTTTTTAAAATCTAGATTATAGAAAACATACCAATAGTAAGTCATAGTAAGTACAGTAAAATTGTTAAACGGGTCACTGACATGATGTACATTTTTATCCAGGTCTGTTAACTCAAAAACACTTAAAAATGCAGTGCATGGTTTGAATACACCTCTTCTATAAAGAGCAAATTTCTGCATTAAAATTTAATTTGAAAAACTAAATTTAAACTAACTTTTATATATATATATATATAAACTAAAAAACACTTTACAGTTTGAAAAGCTTTTCAAAACCATATAAATCCAACAAAATAAAGATTTCAACGGATTTTTAAACTAGATTTTAACAGATTTCTTTTTTCCATTTTTTATGGTATGTATCATTGACCCAAATAATTTTAATCACTGGATGAGAGTTGGCTTGATGACAGTTTCTTGAATTTATATATCTGTGTTCATTTCAGCATGAGAACAACATCATCCATCGTGATCTGAAGGCAGAAAATGTTCTTTATACAACCAACTCCTGCATAAAAGTGGCTGATTTTGGCTTCAGCACAAGGGTCAACAATCTCAACCAAGCCCTAGACACCTATTGCGGTTCTCCTCCTTATGCAGCTCCAGAACTCTTCAAAGATGAGTCTTACATCGGGCCACCTGTGGATGTGTGGGCAATGGGCATCCTACTTTTTTTCATGGTGACTGGCACGTTGCCTTTCCGTGCTGACACTGTGGCCAAGTTGCGCCAAAGTGTGCTGGAGGGTGCCTACGTCCTGCCAACCTGGGTATCAGCTCCATGTCAGCGGCTGATCAGGGGGATCTTGAAGCCAGAACCTTCAGAGCGATGCGCACTAGACCAGATGCTGGGCTGCGAGTGGCTGCTGCCAGTGGAACTCTTCCGGCCTATTCCTCCCTTATACCAGCTCAACCCCATCCATCTAATAGAGGCCGGCCCAGGGGAGTTAGACGGAGACCAGGAAGAGGTAAAAGGTATCCTGGAGAAACTGGGAGTCACTCAGGAACATATTCTCAATAACCAAGGAAAACGCATTCGCAGTCCCATCACAGGGGTTTACCGCATACTACTGCACAGAGTTAAAAGAAACAATGGAGCTGAGTCTGCACCTATAATCAGTGGAGTCGTCAAAGATCCTAAAAGAGACAGTCTCCGTGCCTACAGGAACCTACGACACTCCTCAAAACTGTGTGTGCTTTCTTAAAGGCATAGTTCATCCCTTTTATTCAGTCTTTTTCTCCATAGTACAATGAAAGTCAATGGGGTCCAAAACAATACTTGACCCCAATGACTTTCATTGCATATGTTCAAAACAACAATGCGACATTTAAAAAAAATATCTTCTTTTCATGTTTCTTTTCACAGAATAAAGAAGGTACATATTTGGGATAACATGAGGGTGAATAAATTAAGAAAGTTGACATTTTTGGGCAAACAAACCTGCCTGGCCTAATGGTTAGAGAGTCGGACTCGTAACCCAAAGGTTGTGGGTTCGAGTCTCGTACCGGCAGGGATTGTAGGTACGAGAGGCAGCTATGTAGGCAGCTATGCTCTCTCCCACCTTCAATACCACGACTGAGGTGCCCTTGAGCAAGGCACCAAACCCCCAACTGCTCCCCGGGCGCCGCAGCATAAATGGCTGCCCACTGTTCTGGGTGTGTGTGTTCACTGCTGTGTGTGTGCACTTTGGATGGGTTAAATGCAGAGCACTAATTCCTAGTATGGGTCACCATACTTGGCCACATGTCACATCACTTTCACTAATATTGTGGGAGTTGTGGCATTACTGATGTTCACTTGTAGCACAAATAATTTCATAGATCAAATCAATGAGAAACTACATGCTAATTCTTATTAACTTCAACAGTACTTTTAAAATAGTTTTCTTTTGCACAAGAAATTTTACTTAATTGTCAGTGGCTTAACTTATGTAATATATGTTTCAGTCAGCCAGCTTTAAAACAAATAAATAAACATTTTTGCAAATATAAACGTATTACATTTGTCGACTTTTACTGCTTTCCTCCATTTTTGTGTACAAACTTTCACTAAATAGCCCTACATATTCAGTTTACAGGCTCTCTGTACGTTCATTGAAGCCCCTCTCTCAACGCTGAGTGCTGCAGCAATCCGTGCAGGAGCCACGGGCGCTTTGTAAACAATACAGCAACTGACAGGGAGCCATACGAGTGCCAGCCCAACACTCACCCCCGCGGCACAGCCTTCACCTCCCATCTGCGCTACTTGGCAGATGGAGTAGCGTCGTGGCTCAGACATCTGCCGATGTAACAATGAGTTCCTTGTGCTGGGGCCCCCAATTTAACGGGACAGCGCGCTACTATTGTGCTGTAGCTATACACATGCAGATCACCAGCGGCTGCAGATGGCAGCTGACACTATGCTGCCCCCAATCCAGTTACTTAAGAATGAAAACTTTCGGAATGAACATTATTCACTGTAGACGTCATTTTACGTTTCGGGAATGAAAACGAGGCTGAGGGGTACGCGTGCAGTGAGTTCAAGATATAGCTATGGCGTCTACTTTTAACACGTTTCTCGAGTATAGCCTGTCTCTAGGAAATTGATGCATTTTGCAATGCCGTGTCAGCTGAACAAGATATAGCCTACAACAATACAACTCAGCTACTAAACGTCGATCCCTCACAGTCTCGTTTTCATTCTCGAAATATAAATATATCCATGACATAGGCTACCAGCTAAGGTGTGTGAATGTGTTATGAATGCAATTAAAATGTTTGGCATCTGCTGAAGACTGAACACATGACACAATTGTTCATTTTTAATACATTTATTTTTTATGCATTCCGTCATTTCTACAATGCAACATTTGTAATGCAAAGTCTGAAACAACATTTAAATAGCTTTCTTGCATATCAAATATTTCTAAAGTGAAACCTTTAGAGAATAAGACAATTCTGGAAAGTGGAAAGCACATTGCCGACAATAAGATACGTTATATTGTGCAGCAATTAAATTTTTTAAAAATTTCCGAGATGTTAAAGTCCATTTTTAAAAACGTTGCTTCGACGCACCGCCGCGTCCTCTGCGTGTCCAACGCATGCGATATTTGCTCTGTGGAACAGAGGCAAAACTCGCTTCTCCTTCCTCTCCAAACCTCATCCGCACAAAGAATGAGGGCCATTGTGTCGCTCTCGTGGCATACCTGACCTCATTCACATAAAGAATGAGGATCATCTTGGCATGGACGGGACGAGGAACGACGTAGAACCGCGAGGGCCACTCGGGCCTGCCTCGCGCTGCCTGGACGGTTCAGCCTCCTCAGGAGCATCCAGGGATGTGGAAACATCAGCATCCTTGCTTCAAAGGATGAGTCGAGTATTCCTCAAGGTTTACAGAGAAGAGTAAAGCTCCAGATCAACGCTCGGGCAGAGTGATCTCAGGAACCCACTCGTTATAGCTGCGACTTTCTTCACAGAACAGGTGAAGCTTCTCCAGAGCTGGATCCTCCCAGGAGTCCTCAGCTGGGTTCTGTTGTGATGAAGAAAAATGCAAGTTTAGCTTGGCATCCAAAACGTTGCAAATGCATAAATATAGTTTCTGCTTTTGCTAATGAGTGTAAAATATTTTCCTTTGCGCATACATACCGTGATAAGAACGCAGTGAGCATCCTCAAATTGTTCAGCATTGTCACCAACAATCTCAGAAAGACGTTGCATGTCATTCACTCTGACGACGCTGATGTCGTTGTCGAAACAGAAGGCTTGGATGAGAGTGAAGTGGATTTGGAGAGCAATGTCACACTCGAACTCCTCATCCATCGCCAGGACGCAGAAAGACACGCTGTCTGGGTCACTGAAATACAAGAAAAGGCAAATTATAAGCACAATTTGTACTACTAAATCAGTCGAAACGCTTGATAAAAGTTGTTGCATGAAGGAAGAATCAATGGACAGCATACTCACACATTCATAACTTTGGCAGATTCGTAAACGCCAATGGTAAGGCAGTCGTTCGCTTTGGCAGAAACCAAAACTTCTTCCAGTGCTTTTCCAGTGCACTGAGCTCTCTCGCTGGGCTTCTGGATGACAGCTTCCTCGAGAGTCATGATGATGCTGGTTTAGTAATTCCACAAGGAGCAGATAGCAGAGCTGAAGCTGGATGAAAGGATTGGTGCTCTAACGGCGTGAGCTCGCAGGTTTTATACTCCCCGGCTCGTAGTGGCTATGAAAGAAGCGTCCTCTGATTGGTTCCTATGAATGGTGCATTGGTATGCTAATGTTATTGTCACACTCCGGCTCGTGGCAGATTGATGAGGGCTGTAATGCCACTTTTTAAGACTTTCTGCAGACTTCAACTAATTATTTGATTATTTAATTTGTATATTTTAGAACCAAATGCATTGATACGTTTGAGCAGTATCTTATTTTTAGGCCTACTTTATTTTTATTTAGATCGCCTATTAGTCTTTTACAAAAGCATATTTATTTATTTTGCAAAGTTTTGTGTGTTTTAGTATCTTAGCTGTATTCAAATGTTTTATTATCTCTCTAACTCCGGACCAAATACACAACTGTTTAAAAAGTAATATCTCTCCTCACTCTCAATATATATAAACATATATTCTCTTTTTGAGTTAATTTGTTTGATCAAATATATAGCAGTGCATTTAGCAGTGCATTTAGTAAGATGAGGTATATTACAGAGAATCAAATTACACTTCTATTTGTTGAATGCGTTTGCGTAAACGTTTAGTATTTTATTTATTTTAATGGTTAAAGTGAGCAAATGTGGATAAGGGGATCGCATCCCCCCGCTCTCAGCGCAAAAGACAGGTGGAGCGTGGCCATCTGTTGAAACGGTCCTATTGTGAACTCAGAAACTTCTATTATTAGAGGCCTTTACAAATGCAAATAAGATGCGCGTGCCATGACGCCCCGCTGCCCAATCTGGCCTGCTACGTCCACGGACCTCGTGACCAGAGGCAGCTTAAATGCAGGCCACCCTGAAAATGTAGCAGTTTATATTAGTATGTTCTCCAAGTGCAGAAACATTCGCAGCCTTAACGCGTTTAATGATGTGCGAATAAACGGCTTGGTTTAAATGCGCGGATATTTTTGTCATTTTGTTGACAGGTTTGAATAAATATTGGGGAAAAAACAAAACTATATCAGAAATCACAGATCATTACGAATGCAAGCTTATATGGAAGGAAAGAGTTTGTTTTTGTTTTGTCTGAGAGGCTAAAGCTAACAGGTTGACAATGACTGATGCAGGCCCATTGTTACCCCGCAGAACAGGAGCAGATGGAGAAGCCTCACTTTAGGATGCCCCCATTGGCCTCTCGCAGCCCAGCAGCGCATATGACTATTGTGTGCAAGTTTTTTTTTTTTTTTTTTGTCTGGAGCTTAAATAGATTCAGTAGAAGTTTTCGTTATGGTGATCGCTGCAGCAATAGGAAAAACTATGTAAAATATTATTTTACATGCTTAATTTTGGCAAGTTAAGTTGCATACATGCAAACGATATAAATTATAGCTTTAACATATAAAAATACACATACAATACAATACAATACAATAATACAGAAAGTTCTATAGAGCGTACATTTGTGCTTTATTTACACAGTACGGAGTACAAACATGGAAAGAAAGAGAAAGAACTGGTTTCAAATAGCAAAGCTACTTGCAACGAGAATAGATGCATTGTTCTAGTATCACATCTGCAGGCCGGGCATCCCGTCCCTGCCCCCCTTAGTGCGCGAGAGTGACAGGTGTTCCAAGACAAACCTGCTCGAGCGCAAAGCAGACTAATCGAACAATTGCTTTTACTTAGTCTCTCCTGCAGCTGCAGATTAGGACATCCATCTGTTACAAAGCCATTGCATTTTACTCTATATGACTTGCCTACCTGTCATCAAAGGAATAAAAGTCAGCCAGAAGTTTGTTCAGATGTGTTCAAGACGATTTTAATAAAAGTTACAAGCATAGGAACTAAACAAATATAGGCCTAAAGCTTACACATTAAACAAGTTAAGGCTATGATTCTAAATGCAATTAAGAATATTAATATCAAGTTTATTATCTAAAGGCACCATAAAAAGTGTTTGTGTCCGCAGGCATAGATAGAAGTCTCAGTTGATAAATACAGCAGAAATGTGCTCAGCTGATCCTCATCTTCCCCCATCAGCAGATGGGGAGTGTTTCCATAGCAAAGGAGAAGCACGTCCAGATGCCACGCGCCGTAAGTCCGGTCACCTCTAGGTATGCAAATTAGCCACGCGTATGTGATACAATCAGCAATAAGTAATAAATAACCTTCAGCACATAAAAATCAACCTCAAAAGTTTGACAAATTCACCCATATGTGACAAGCACATTACCCAGATTTTATTTTTAATAAAAAGGCTTGTTCGAACTATATTTCGATTGTCATTAATACATTTAAATAATCCCTTTTCTTTTGCGTAACTCTTTTTTTTATAGACACCGTAACACTTAATACACGCCAAAACTAAAACTCATATGCCTAACTATTCGCAGATTGAGCAATGATGGAATGTATAGGCCTACATGTTGGTTAATTCACTCAGTATGCCTATTTATTGATTGTTTTGGTCAACGTCAATATTGTAGGTTTAAATTTATATAAGGAAGTTTATCGTTCTGAAACTGGTCAGCATTCGCCACCATCAGCCTTTTTGCATTCACTAGTTCATAAAACAGTAAAAACATGTCAATGAACAATATTTATATAAAAAAAAAAATACTATCTCATGACAGCTACCCATCAACATGCGCGTATTTTTTCTGAGCTTGTTGAATTTCTGCCACCTCTTTTGAGTAGAATAAGTTGGTCTATTTAATTAGGACAAAAGTGAAAGGATCAGAGTTTGATGTCGTGCATGTCTAAAGGCACGCGCCTTGGAAACGGCCTTTTCTTTTTTGTTCAGAACAGCCAATCAGAACGCGGGGTGCAAACGCGTGCCACTATACCACTATAAGTACTTGGTCGCGTGTCAGTTGGAAACTCACTCACAACTTGTTTCGCTCCGCTCGAGCCACTACTACACTTCAAACACAGCTACTGCCTACTTTAATTCAAACCAAAATGGTGAATGAAGGAAAATCTCTATCCGAAGCCCTGCTGTCTGCCAAGGCGGAGGGTCGCCTCACTGTTGGCGTCTATGAATGCGCAAAAATAATGAACGAGTAAGTTTGGAGGAACGTCTTCCATGCGATATACCATTTCCTGTCTATTTAACCATGCCATTGCTGCTGTGCGGGTTACCTCATTTCAAACATACTTTTGTTTTTACAGGGACCCTGATAGTGTGTCTTTCTGCTTGTTGGCCACTGATGACTTTGAGTGCGACATCGCTCTCCAGATCCATTTTACTCTGATCCAAGCGTTTTGCTTTGACAACGACATCAGCATAGTCAGAGTAAACGACCTGAAACGTCTCAACGCTCTTGTTGGTACCAAGGGTCAACTCGAGGACGCTCATTGTGTCCTTATAACGGTGAGAATATGTTCATTTCTAACACTTAAGTGCAAGAGTGCAAGTTAATTTGTGCCCAGACAGAAAGGAAAACATTTTACACTCATTAGCAAAAGCAGAAACTATATTTATGCATTTGCAACGTTTTGGATGCCAAGCTAAACTTGCATTTTTCTTCATCACAACAGAACCCAGCTGAGGACTCCTGGGAGGATCCAGCTCTGGAGAAGCTTCACCTGTTCTGTGAAGAAAGTCGCAGCTATAACGAGTGGGTTCCTGAGATCACTCTGCCCGAGCGTTGATCTGGAGCTTTACTCTTCTCTGTAAACCTTGAGGAATACTCGACTCATCCTTTGAAGCAAGGATGCTGATGTTTCCACATCCCTGGATGCTCCTGAGGAGGCTGAACCGTCCAGGCAGCGCGAGGCAGGCCCGAGTGGCCCTCGCGGTTCTACGTCGTTCCTCGTCCCGTCCATGCCAAGATGATCCTCATTCTTTATGTGAATGAGGTCAGGTATGCCACGAGAGCGACACAATGGCCCTCATTCTTTGTGCGGATGAGGTTTGGAGAGGAAGGAGAAGCGAGTTTTGCCTCTGTTCCACAGAGCAAATATCGCATGCGTTGGACACGCAGAGGACGCGGCGGTGCGTCGAAGCAACGTTTTTAAAAATGGACTTTAACATCTCGGACATTTAAAAAAAATGTAATTTCTGCACAATATAACGTATCTTATTGTCGGCAATGTGCTTTCCACTTTCCAGAATTGTCTTATTCTCTAAAGGTTTCACTTTAGAAATGTTAAATATGACATAAAAGGGGGAAAAAAAAAAAAAAAAAACGAACTTAAAAATCTCTAAAGGTTTAACTTTAGAACAATGTGATTAAAAATGAAGACAAAATATTTAAATATGTTCTTGAATAGACAAAGTAAATTGAAAAAAATGGTAAAAATGATGAGACATTTTTTTCTTTATGAGACAAAAATGAATAAAACATTTTTTTGAATTAAACTTGTTTGTGCAGCAACTTATTTTTGTACATATCATGCAAACTACTGAGTCAGCAGGAAAATGTAAGTGACTTTACAGGCCTCATCTTTACTTGCAGCGCTTGGAGAAAACCTTAATATGCAGAATTTGATTATAATTTATGCCTACAAAACCTGAAAACATTGTATGTGTTCTCAATTTTTATGCGAGTTGACTTTTATATTAAAACTTGACCGTGTGGTCTTCCCACAAAGGCCTAAATACTAAGATTACTTATAATCTACAGTTTATCTCTAAATCAACCTGATTAGCCTCTCTTATACAATTAACAATAACGTAACAACATGCGTTCCTCTTTTATATAGAAAATGTGAAATTTACTCAACAGACGCACTTGCCAGAATGATGAGGCTCAACCAATCTAATCTGTAATGGGGGAAAAACCTGATCTCGCCTATAAAAATGTAATTTTATAGTCCTAATTAACTCACCAAAGCATCCACAGTATAGAATTGGGAATGCAATCAAGAAAGAAATGTAGTTCTTTAACAAATTACAGGACAGGCTGAGCAAACCACAGGATAAATACATTGCTAATATACAATATTCGGAATCATGAAATGAAATATTTTCTTAATAACTCTATATTACCACTTAATAATGATGTATGGTGACATGGTTGTTTGCTCTGTCTCCTGTTGTTGATTTGTTTTAAACAGCATAAAAATAGGTTACATATTGATGGA